TGGAGATCTGTTTAAATAGGTTGAAGTGTTGCTTAAGTTTGATGAGAACGTCGCAAAAGCCTTTTTCATTTCATTTGACAAAGTGGCTAGACAAATGAAATGGCTGGTGACTATATGGTATTGTCGATCCAAATGAAGTTGGTAGGTAGAGCTAGTGAGGTATTTGCATCACTATCAGAAGAGGTATCTGGGAGTATGAGGAGGTGAAGAAAGCCCTCTTAAGTGCATATGAGCTAGTACCAGAAGCCTAGAGAAAACATTTCAGGAATCTAAGGAGGGACCCCGGTTGAACATTCATTGAGTTTGTAAGGATCAAACAAAGTAATTTTCATAGGTGCATTGAAAATAGATCAAACATATGACACCCTGAAACAATTATTTTGGAGAAGTTCAAAAATTCACTTCTTGGTGAGAACTCAGGTGGAAGAACAGAGAGTTAAAACTGCAAGATTAGCAGAAGAGATGATTAAGAGTTGGTTCATAAATCAAAGTTTGGCTTCCGACATCAATTTCAAAATGTGAGGAATAGAAATTGGGAAAAGAGAAATCCTCAGGTGGTAATGAAGAAGGAGATCTCATTGAAGATGGATAAAAAGGAAACCCATGAGGGTGAAAGAGAGGTTAAAATTCCTCAGGTGTTTTCACTGTAACAAAGTAGGCCAAATGAAGTCGCAGTGTTGGTGATTTAGAAAAAACACTGGGAAGACAGTTGTAGGAAAACAGGATAAGCCACTGAGTTCTGTTGATGTGGTAAAGGAAAGTACAGTGGAAGCTAAAAAGCTGCACCAGAATATACAACCTGGTTAGGGGTTGGCTGAGAAGAAAGTGCCAGATCTTCTTAAACTGGATAAGGTTCATTCATATATGCCAGGAGAAGCAGGGGACGAAATTAAAATTTTAAGAGATACAAGAGCAAGTCAATCTTTGATGTTGAGAGATGAGGACATATGTAATTCAGAAGGACTGTTGCTCGAAAAGATGGTAATATGTGGAATTCATTGTGAAAAGAACTGTGTTCCATTATATAAAGTGAGGTTGGAGAGTCTGGTGAAAAGAAGGGAAGTGGTGGTAGGAGTAGCAGAGAAATTCTCAGTTCCAGGAATACACTTTATTCTTGGTAATGCTGTAGCTGAATCACAGGTGGGAGCGCTGCCTACTGTGGTTGAAAAGCCAGAAGAAAATCAGGCAACTGAGGTGTTACAGGAAGTATACCCTGGGATTTTTCCGGACTGTGTGATAACAAGGTCACAAAGGGCACAGGTTGAAACAGGAGGACAAATCAAGGAACAAAGATAAGGAAGTAGAAGTTGAATTATCAGAAACTATGTTTGATCAAATGGTTGAGAAAAAAACAAGAACAGCTAGAGGACAAAGTGGATATTTTTAATTCAGAGAAATTAGCTGAATTACAACAGAAATATGAAAAATTAAAGCAGTTGTATGGAAAAGCATACACAGAATAAGAATCTGAGTGTATTCCAGAATGTTACTGTCTCAAAAATGAAGTCTTGATGAGGAAATGGTGACCATCACATATTCAGGCAGAAGAATGGGCGGAAGTTCATCCAGTTGTATTACCAGTGGGTTATAGAAAGGAGGTGTTGTGGGTAGAGCATGAATGACCAATAGGTGGTCATTTTGGAGTAAGGACAACTCAAGCCAAAATACAAAAGACATTTTTATTGGCCTGGACTGCATAAGGATGTGGTTGAATTTTGCCCGACATGTCATATGTGTAAGGTAATTGGAAAATCTCAGGCAGTGATAAAACCAGCACTCCTAATACCCATTCCTGCATTTACAGAACCTTTTAAAAGAGTCTTAATTGATTGTGTAGGAGCCCTATCTAAAACAAAAAGTGGGAATCCGTATTTGTTGACCATAATGGATATGTCTACTTGATTTCCAGAGGATATCCCATTACACAGTATCATGACTAAAAGAATTGCAGAAGAGTTACTCAAATTTTTACTAGCTACAGACCACCCACAGAAATACAATCAGATCAAGGATCAAATTTTACATCAAAATTATTCAAAGAAGTTATGGATGGCTTAGGAATAAAACAATTCAAATCCACTGCATACCATCAAGAATCACAGCGTTAGAATGGTGGCTTCAAACTTTAAAGACTATGTTGAGGGCTTATAGTCAATACTATCCAAAAGTTGGGATAACGGAATTCCATTTGTACTTTTTGCAATTACGGATGCACCTAATGATTCAACTAAATTCTGTCCATTTGAGTTAGTTTTTGGGCATGCAGCGAGAGGACCATTGAAATTAATTAGGCAGAAATTGATGAGTCAGAATTCGAAGACCACATATTTGGATTATGTGTCAGATTTAAGGGAATGATTAAAAGAGCAGG